GCCCAGCACCACCCTCGCTCCATCGCCCTGCGCGCCCATCACCACCTCCACCGCCTCCTCTGCAGCTAACACCGACACTGTCGACCTCTGATGCCCACACTGTCCACGCACGTTCACCTCACGCATCGGCCTGGTCGGTCACTTGCGAATCCATCGAACAGAGACTGGCGAACCAGTGCCTGGAGCACCAACCTATACCCACCACGCTCGACTCAACTGCCCACACTGCCCTCGCACCTTCAGACATCGCATGGGCCTATTCGGTCATATGCGCATCCACGACGACCTGCGGTAGACAACCGCCGGTCACACCACTCATCCAATCACTCCCTACCTACCAACACCATCACCCCACCAGACATCAACACTCACACACCTCATGCACCCAACTGCCACCTTCCACGCAAGTGGGAAGTGTGCATCTCGACTCGGTCCCCATGCGGCTTCGGCTACACGGGTGACTTGTGTCAGAGACTATCCCGACACGTCAAGCGTCGTGGATAGGAAGGTTGCTGATTGAGGCCCACTCTCGGTTCACGCAGTTCGTCGCGTTGTGTGTGTGTGTGTTGTGTGTAGTGGCGGACTGGCGGGCTGGAGACGGGCTGAGACAGCACCTTCCACGGCCCTCTCACGCAAGTGAGAGACACGCCGTTCAACCCCCGTTGTGTGAAATCCTGGTGTTTGTGTGTATGGGGGGCCAGGTCGTGCTGTGGCGCGCGCAGGCATGGTCAGTCGACCGTGTCAGCCACCGCGCCCATTTCGCACTCCAGTCTACTGATCGGCTCGGACATCGGCTGGGGTGTGGGATGGGAAGGTAGAGTGATGTCGACGACTCAGCGCACTTCTCCTCACTATAAACAGTCTGACGCGCTTGAAGCTATCACGGTGCGTTAAAAGCCGTGGCTTGGAAGGTTGCCAACTGACGGGGTAACTTGGACCTCCTCCTTCACTGGAGGCGGTCTGAGAGTCAGGCTGCAATGGTTCCTTTTTAATGTGGCCTTTATGGCACTCCCACCCTAGTGTGGGTTCCGAGCCAGCGTTTACGGCACGCCTAGGTGCGGCTTCGGCCGTGCCAGCCTCCAAATTTCTCCTGTGTTGGTTGAAATCCTGGTCATTTGTTGTGTGGACCAGTGGGTGTGGTTGAACGCCAAGGTGAGGATCCGTCCGAACCATCCACCTGCGGCTTCCCTCGTCTCCGGTCTTCTTGACTCTGTATTGACACCGGGCTCAGACGGGGGAGGAGGAGAGAGTGTAGGTAGATGCAGCGCAAGTTTACTGGCACTTTAAACCCCTGCGCATGTCACCGCCCCTGCTCCCACGGCTGCTGCAGCTGTGGGGCACACGGTGGACATCGTCGAAATCGAAGGTCGAACGGTCGTGTGTGTGTGTGTGTCTTTGAAAGAGAGCGAGAGAATGTGTGTTTATGTGGAGTGGTGGGCTGGTGGGCTGAGTACCAGGATGTCACGGTCCCTTCTCTCATACGTGTGAGGAGTGTTTGTGTTTTCTTTATGGGTAGTGCCTCTCAATTGGTGACTGCTTGGTTATCGAACCTTGAAGGTTGACGGTCCAGGCTACGTGCAGGGCCACGTGTCGCCCATCTAGGTCAAAAGGTCTGAAAGCGTGTGCTGTGCCAGTATGAGCAATCCACGGTCACCGTTGCCTTGTATGCTCTGGCAGTCCTCTAACACCTGGTTCCCTGGCCGCAATTGCGCTTGCGCTCCTGCTGAGTATACAGGTGGTGGGCATGGCTGCCCACTCATCCTCCTCGTCCTCCTGAATCCTGTTGTGGTGTTGTTGTTGTTGTTGCTGTTGGATAAAAACCATGGTCATGTGTTATGTAAACCAGGGAGTGTTGAGTGGAGCGCCAATGTGCGAGCTCGATCGTGCCATCCACCTGCGTCCTCCCCCGCCTTCGGCCTTCTTGACTCTGTTTTAGCATCGGGTCCAGGTGGAGGAGAGAGTGCGGTAGACTATGCGCAAGTCTATATTCAGCATGAACTAATTCATGCGCAAGTCACCGTGTCTCTTTCACCTTGCTGTGCAGCACACACTGGACATCGTTGGCAACGACGGGCAAACTGTCATGTGGGATTATTCGTTATTCTCCTTTTTACATACTGCAGACCAAAAAGGCGTAACATTTAACGAGGTGACCTAAATCCCATGAGTGCAGATTTACCAGGTCTCGAATGGAGCTCAAGGTTAACAGGAAATGCAAACGAAGATTGGGAGCTGTTCAAGAATTTCCTTTTACAGATCGTCAACAATAACTGTCCACTGACGAGTGTAAGACTGAACAAGTAGTCTGGGGGGCTAAATAGCAACTTAGAGAAAGAGGTTATCAACAGGCATAAATGGCGGGGAAAATACCGCGTCACTGGGCAAGTCGAATATTTCAACATTTACGAAAGACAGAGAAACAAGCTGAGAAGTTGGATTGTCAGGAAGCGTCGGAATTGGAGAAAAGTTTGCCGCAAAAGCAACGGAGAATCCGAAATCACTCTACAGTTACTTCAAAAGAAGTACGGAGAAAAACCATTAAGCCCCTTTTATAAAATCTGTCGACGACATTGAGATTGATGATAGCATGGCTAAAGCTGCGTGCCTTGCATAGATTTCCTCATCGATCTACACAAACGAGGTAAGGTTCTCCTCTTTCTCCGCAGAAGGACTGCAGGCTCCAAGCATAAGCGATATCCCTTTTTCAAAATATCTTGCCCGTGGAGAATTATAGATATTAAACAAATTGAGGTCTCCAGAACCAGACTAGATTCCACCCAAGCTTCTCAAAGGACTTGCTAGTTAGTTTTCTATACCTCTATTGGTGGTCCTTTAAACGCCATTTGATACTGTAACACTCCCTACTGAGTGAAGTACGGCGTATATAATTTCCCCATACAAGGACGGTGGCCGGAAGTCCACGATAAATTGTAGGCTCATAAGCTTGACATGCATTCTCAACAAAGTTGCAGACAGGATTAGGAAGAGCGAACCGCGGAAATTCCTGGAAGTCAGCAGTTTTCTATAGAATTCCCAACACGAGTTTCAATGAGGAACATCCTGCACGACAGATGTGCTGCAATCTATTCAGAGATGGACCAGAGTTCTTGACGACAGGCACGCTGTTCCCCTTCAGAACCAAACAGTTAATCCTCTTACTAAGTAAGTTGCTCTTACTTCAGACAGTAATGTTCATTTACTATCCAGACGATGTTCTTGTAGCTGTGATATGGACAACGCCTTCCATAGTTGACTTCCAACTCTCTTTCTCTCTCTCTCTCTCTCTCTCTCTCCTGGGCTACAATTATAATCGAAATGGCCATCAACAAAGCTGTGGTCGTGGACGTGCATCTATATGACCTCCAAGACCTACAAACGGCTGGGTCATTTCTGCGTATACTTCACGAAATTTGTCAATTTTTTTGAAGTAACTTTGACCAAATAGGATCATTTTTTACTCGCCGAGTTTTAACAACGCACCACACTTCATTTACAATCCGAAGTATTCTTATATAAGTTAATAAGAAGGGTGGCCGAGCACCTGAACACGCTGGTTATTGTTCTGAGTTTTCGAACACGTACAGAAGTCTAGCGTCAGAGATTGTAGCAAAAACAGAACGGCGGAAGGTTTAAGAGCGTGTCAGCCAGTCATCGATCGATGACGCAAGACTGGAGGTGACTGCGCAGGGCTCCGTATGGGGACGACAGATCGGACTCGGATGAGGACTCAGCCAATCGATGTGTCGACCTAGCGCTGGCGTACGGGGCCCTGCGCAGTCATCTCAATTCTTGCGTCATCGACCGATGGTCAACTAGCACGCCCTATAACCCTCTCTCGTTCTGTCTTTGCTACCATCACTGCCGATAGACTTCTGCACGTGTTCGAAAGTTCAGAACAATTAACAAAGTGTGCCGGTGCTCGGCCACCCTTCTTACTCACTTATACATACACCCGGAATTCGAACTTTCGTCTTTATTCTTTATATTTTCGAAAACGAGTATATACATTTGTTCCTAGTTTAACGTTTACGAACTCCCAGAAATTTGTGCGATAGGAGCACGACGGACGAGTCAATTCGTTTGATGGAATGTTTGATGGGACGGCCTTCGCATCCAGGATTTCCGCTCGCTCTGTTTACTTTAACAGCCAAAGACTGGCAAAGGATATTAAAAACGCAATAACCTAAAAAAATGTAGAATACGGGAATGAATCTTGCATGGAATGCTCATATGTTTTGGGCAGGGTCAAAAATGAAAATTGACTT